GCGCTTTTGCCGCTGAGCTAAATCCCCAGCCCCGTGTTTCCCTTCTTAATATGTCTTTTTGGAGGTTCAGCTAGGTTGAGAACATAGCATTCTTCCTTCCAGCTCCAGCCCCAGCTATGTGCAGTTGAGTACTGCTGCCTATTTCATAATAGTCAAATCACTCATATATCAGCTCTCTTTCTCTCTCTCTCTGTGTGTGTGTGTGTGTGTGTGTGTGTGTGTGTCTCTTTCTCTCTCTCTCTCTCTTCCTCCCTCCCTCTGCCATCCCATTTTTCCCATTCTTTTTCTTTTATACCTAAAAATTGGATATTAATATGGGCTCTCAATTTTTGTTAGCCATTCTAAAACAATGATTTACCACTCAAACCAGCTGCAAAGGGGATTGTTTCCTAATTTCCCACTTCATTGCTATCACCGAAGAAAGACACATGGGCCCCTTTTATCTGGAATCTTAACTGTTGATCTTCGTGTGACGATAAAGATTATAATATATTAATTTCTTCCTTTATTCAGCAAACATGTATAGAATGGCCATTTGGGGAAAATGCAAGGAATGGAGTTCTTTGCCTAGAGCACAACAAACAAATTATGAATACACCTTACAAAGCACATACACCCATGCAACAGTAGTAGTACAAAAATAAACATCAGACTCAAGGTTTCAAAATATGTGTAGAAGTAATTGTTTTTGCAGTTACACGGTATGCGTGATTCAGGAGCTGCACCATTCCCGAAGACCTTTCTTGTCTGGAAGCCACTGGAGCTAAGCAATGTCATGCTTTGAGGGGAACTATGCATTTAAGCCACTATATACACCGCTGCATAATCAGAACAATCAGAAAGAGATATTGCACTTTCTTTTCATTTACTTGCCCTTTTCCAAGGGAGACTTCTTTTTTTTTCACTTCTTTGTGAGAACAGTTATTCAATATACACAGGAAATTTGTCACTTTTTTTACCTTGTTTATTGTTCAGAATCAGTAGAGCAAGAAATGCATTATAGCCTAACTCAGGCCGAGTTGGGAAAAGTTTTCTGGGCATGTAGATCAAGAAACTAAATAGGAGCTTCCTGAGGTCAGGGTGAAGAACAGAGATGTAAACAATAGGACCTGGACTTGTGGGTTCTTTCTTTACCCAGTGTCATTTTGAGAAATAACTCCGTGATTACTGCAGTGTATACATAAAGGTAATGAAATAGTTCCCAGTATCACTGCAATAATGATTTTGGACAGTTACTCTTTAGAAGTACACATTTTTAAAAGATTTTTATATTGATTATTCAAGTAATTAGTTGATGTTTTTCTAGAAACTTCCACTTCTTCTCTTTCAAAAATAGATTTTTTTATAGTCATTGTTGTACCCTTACAAGAATAACGCCAGCGTGTTAGGCTCAGCAAGGCTGCTAGCTGTCTGTTAAGACTGATTTAAGTGACTTTCAGAGAAACTCCTTCTCCAAAGTAATCATGAAGGCCAGCAGCACTACCAGACCTCTGCAGAATCGAGTTCTTTTGTGTCTGGACCATACTTAAGCCATGCAATGCGAGGTTCTAGTAGAGTGTTCTGAAATGATTCTTCTGTTAAGGGTGTAGCACCTAACGCAGTTAGGAAAGAACTTAAGTGATTACTTCGCTGATATCAAGTTATTCAAATGATTGTCAAGGCATATAGGTCGCTTAAGTAGTTAACAAACTTTTTTGGCCAGTAATTTATTTTTATTTTAATTTGTGCTCTTTGTTGAGCCACAACATGTTGGTTGAATATAGCATGAGAAATAAAAGAATTTATGCAAATATGATAGTGATATCTTTACCAGGTCTGAAGAGAAACAATCTGATTGGTTGGCTGGACTTTACAATAAGAATAGCTATCCTTTTTACCTAATAGAAAAGTCAAAGCTGCTCTCTAAATTCATCTTAATGATCATGTGCTTTTGGATAGAAGATAGGTAGATAGATAGATAGATAAATAGATAGATAGATACTATAGCATACACAAGAAATATAACCAGGAGTGAGGGAAATTCAGTATTGGTGGGTAAAAATGGACTTTGATAAAATAATAATTGTCTTTGTAAGACTAAGATGTAACTTCAACTGGATCAATTATTCCATCTACCATGATACAGTTTAACAGTTCTGTTTTGAATTGAATTGATTTTTTTTAAAAAAATCTGTTGTCTTCAAGATATGATACAATTTTTTGAGACTATTTGTAAAGTAGAAGTTAATCTTCCAAGACTTGATATGTTTTTACATTACAGTTATATAAAGCTAACTTTCAATTTTTGCTGTGCTGGTGACTGAATCTAGAGCCTGGCATATATTGAAAATATATAGTATTGTTATATAAAAACCAAATTAGTTGAGCAATCAACCAGACAGATGAAAATACTGCAGCTAAAACTGGAACTAGAGAACAGATACTATTCAGTTAATGTAGAGTTAATTTTCTTATTAATATGGTTCTCTACATGCTACACATTAAATGAGGATTATTAACAATTCAGATTTGTATGACTGTAAAGATTCATTTAAATGTAAGTAAAGTTGTTCCACATTATTTCAAGAGGAGTTAAATGGAAATCTTCATGTTGTGCTGGGTGGCTTAGTTATATTCAAATTTTAAACAGAGTATATTTGTTCTATACAATTATCGGTAATACACGACCAAGAGTTTTGGTATTATGACCTTATTCTTTCATTCGTACTCTCTCTCTCTGTCTCTCTCTCTGTCTCTCTCTTTCTCTCCCCTCCCTTTCCTCTCTCCTCTCTCTCTCTGTACACACACACACACACACACACACACACACACACACAAATATAATTGACTTTGTTTTTTCTCTAAAATAAAGAGGTATGTTAAAAATTGAATAACTTTTTATTTAAGCAATGACCTATTGTGTTGTTTCTATAATAGTTGCAATAGCAGAGAAAACTCGTTTATTTAACTATTTCTCTAACCTGATGGATATTGGAAATTGTATTCTTGTATATTATCAGTTCATTTGTGTGTAATATGTCTCTCAATATTTTCTATATAATATATTAATAGTACATAAAGTAATATTTTCTGAAGCATTTCTTATAACAAAAATATAGCAGAAAATAGGTGTTTTTTTAAAAAATAATTATGACACATTACAAGTCTGTTAGCAAAATAAATATGTTAAAAATAATGCTAAAGTACTATATTTGTCTCTTCCCTCTACACCTTCCATGAGTAACAAAAATGCTCAGTTCTTACTGCCCCAGTTTTTCTAACCATTTTTTTCAATTGCTTTTGCCACTCTGTCAGTTCAGACCCTTTTAATCCTTCCTCTACCTCAACTGTATCATTTAACATGGTTTTTCTTCACTATCAGGTTCTTTATAAAGAGCTATCAGAATTCCCAAAGTTACTTAAATATGAACTGTTACTGCACACTATTTGCTAACTGAGCAACTTTTCTCAGTTTGACACTAAGGGTGATTCATAATGTGGTCTCAAAAATTATTTCTTAATCATGGGCCATCATCAATAAAACATGCAGGTGCACATGTGTACAAAGAGTTGTACATTTTTTATGGACTTGCTAGAATCCTTTTCCCATAAGATTTGGAAATATACTCCATCTCTATATTCATATTTATACTCTACAACACAAAACTTACATTCTGACCATGTTAGATTACAAGCAACTTCAAGACTGATGTGATGTCTAATGTAAGATCACATTCTCGTGCGTCCCATAATTCTTTGGAATATTTTCATCAAGTAACTTGGCCTCCGGCATCTCTCCCTTGAGAAGTCTTTGAATGTTTTCTTTCCTTTTGCATATCCATGACCTGTGACCTGGACAAATCAGGAAGCATTTGGGACAGATAGATGTTATTTTTCAGGTTTCACTCACTACTGTTCTTCCTAACAAATTACTTTGTTTTGTGGGAAATAATGTTCACTAAAGAACTTGGGCTGTGCTCACTTCATTAACACAGTCTACATTCATCCCTAAATTTAATAACTATTTAATTCATGTCAGGTCAGACAAGTGTTATAAGTGGTCCTCCTTTTTATATTTTCCAGGTTTCTTGAGTACAGGGGACCAGGCTGCAAAAGGAAACTATGGACTTCTTGATCTCATACAGGCTTTAAGATGGACTAGTGAAAACATTGGATTCTTTGGTGGTGACCCCTTGAGAATCACTGTGTTTGGATCAGGCGCTGGGGGTTCATGTGTCAATCTGCTGACTTTATCCCATTATTCTGAAGGTAACCGTTGGAGCAATTCAACCAAAGGTATTATGCAGGTTGCAAATTTTGACAATTTTGGTGTCTGCATGCCACCACCATCAGTAGTATGTGATGCTCTGTATATATTTCTCTGTTCAAACTGAGTGTTAGGTTGAACTCAATGACTGTTTGAAACTATATCTCTTCAGCTTTTCTATGCATGTTTAAATTTTTGTCACACATTTTCCTTTGTCTCCTGTGTAGCTTGGCAAGGAAGCCCTTTCAAGCACACTTCAGAATAGTCAGCATCAGAGTTATTTTTCTTTCTTTCAAAGGGTGATTTCAGAGAAAATCAGGCAAAGATATTCATAGTTCTGTCCTCTCTGTTTATTCAGTAGTCAAAATCAAAGAAGTCATTTTTAATGCATGAATTTTATATAATCTATTTTCAAGATAATAGACGTTTAAAACCCTTTATTAGCATGAAACTAATGAAGCAGCCATAAGCTAGTTTGTCTGGAAACATGTGATTTCATTTGTTGTCTGAGGAGAGAATGGATATTTGATTATTTTTGCATGCATGATCCAAAATTGTCAAAGCATCAAGGTCAGTAGTGGAGCTTTTGATTACAAAGAAAAATACATTTGATTTTGTGCTTTTTTTTTTATTTTTAACTCCAAAAATATTTTTCCCCTAAAGCTTGGCATACAAGCATAGAATACTGAGGCTGCTTAAATCCATAAAATATTTTTCTGTTTCCATTTGCTGGCTTTGACATCCAAAGTGCCTGTCCAAGGCTCATATGGTTGTTCTTTATGAGCTCCATTTTGCCATGTGTTCAATCACCCATTTGAACTGCATTATTAATTTGAAATATCTACAAAAACAGAAGAGTTTTGCTGATGAAGTTTGCAAACACTTTCCATTAGTTACGTTTAATAGAGAGGACAAAAGAGACTATGAATCAACCTAGAACATCTTTTAGTTTTTGCTTCTTGTCACTTATAAATAATGAACTTAATTATTTACTGCTAAGTGTAATTCATGAAGCATCTTAAATTGTAATATTCAATTTTATGATATGAACACTAGATATACAATGTTGTAGTTATCAATATCTAGTAATGTGGAAATCCAAAAGAATAGCTAGTCATTAAATGAGTGTATATATATGTATATTTATATGTATATACATATATACAGAGAGTCAGGTTTCAAGACAGATTTAATTTGTTAATATAACATCTCTTTTATATTAGTAGGATTCTGATTGGAAATGACAAAATGATGCAGTTGAGAACATTTTCAATTGCATAGAGATTTTGATATGTAATGAAATTACTTATTTAGAAGTAACAAACTTGGGCTTTTAAAAAATAAATAGATTACATTGTTTTACTTTTACTATGATGTTAGTCACAATACTTAGCTAAATTGGCACACAACAACTTGTTTAAACTCACTGGGGCCATTTCATCGAAAATGGGCACAAAGTCCATCTCAGTTGAGACTATTGTTAGAAAATTGGTTACTTAGTCAACTAGCAATTGCTGTTCAACAATTGAAAGTGGAAGAGATGTCATGAAAAAAATTGAAAATGTAGCCCTTTAGTGTAGCCTTTAAGAGAATTTGTCTATACCTTGCCAGAGACATGGGCTTAGATTTAAACTAGTCCTAAATGCATCTCCAGAATGAGCTGTTCGTCTTGACCTGGAGATGCTGAGATCTTTTGAAACTGTCTTGTTGATTCTGCCTCCAATACAGACACTGGTTTTAAAGGCTATAAACTCCACAAAGAGCTACAGCCATGCTCAGACCTGCATCAACCATGAATCAATTACATCTTGTGTACACTTAATGAGCATTCTCACTACTGATAAAATAAATGGTTTTCCCAATATCACCTAAATGGCAATTTCAGGCAATATTCATTCACTAAGATGTCAGTTATACTTTAAATCTTTTTTTTTGGCATATTCAATTAATGCCATTGAGTTCCTGAAATGGTAAAGAATATTATAAAAATCATCAAGCTTCTTTTAGCTGTAAAATTATTAATTTATAAAATATTTGCCCTGGCAAATGTTGACAGTCTATATATTTTTGAAATTATTGGTATTTTAATATTTGCTCTAGCATATGTGTGTCTATTGTTCTACACTATATTTATAAAGATGTCAGAAAAGAACAAATTTGAATTAGTATTGTTTAGCTTTTTGAATATTTTTTAATTAACTAGTCAAATTATAGAATTTTGTGTGTGTGTGTGTGTTTGGAGAAAAAATTTGAAGCTTCTAATTCAGACAACGCATTAACACCTTTGTGAAAAGTTATTTTCTCATCACATATGAGCAATTTAACATATTTTTAATTAACTAAACTACAAAGCTACACCTGAAAATAGATACTAAATGTAAAAGAAAATGAATAAATTATATTTTTAAAAACAATTATTTTCACATAATACCCTAACGAACAGAAAACTGCATTTGCAAATTTCAGTGGCTCTTATACTGCATATGGGGCCAAAATTCATATTTCTTAAATGCAAGTAAGTAAAAAGGGGTAGAACATGTATGCTTCATATTTCATGATAAACTATAGCAGTACACATTCAGCAGTGAAAAAAATTTAATTGACCCTCACCAAATCCTTTTGCTGTTGGTTATTTTCCTTTGACTTAGTGAAGACATTTCAATCGTTATGTGTTCTTCTGAAAAAGGAACAATCAACCTAATATTTCTGACATGAATATCTACATAGAATATGTCTAAAGTGATATTCTGTTTTGTGTGTGACCTTACAGCCATCACCAGGGTACTAACAAATATATAGCCCCAGTAGTTGTATGAGATTTTTATTATCTTCCAAATTAAATCTTGTTAAAATGAACACAGAGAATCTTTTTTTTTTTTTTTCTTTTTTTTGTTTTGTTTTGTTTTTTTTCCGGTACCAGGAATTGAACTCATGACCTTGTGCTTGCCAGGCAGGTGCTGTGCCACTAAGCTAAATCCCCAGCCCCCATTTTTAACAAGAATAGAGATAGCCAAATTGAGTGATATATCACAGGCATAAAATACCAAATCTGATACAGAGAAGAGAAGGATTTGAGAAAGAGAAAGGATTTGCTCCATTCATTTGCTATTGATAATAAATTTTGTGTTATGCTCATAGAAGAAATTATTTGCTGATTTCTACAACTAGTATTTCAACTACTCATCTCCTTGCTTGCTGCCTCTTGAGTCTGCAAAATTTAGACCTCTTCACCCTTCAAGTAGATGCCACTCAAAGTACTTGACATAAGTCTGTATTTCTGAGCCATTATACCCTGGGGATGGCTTTGTATACCACATCTTAGGCAAGAATATCTCTCTCTGTCTCTCTCTTTCTCTCTCTCTCTCTCTCTCTCTGTCTCTGTCTGTCTCTCTCTCTCCCTCTCCCTCTCTCCCTCTCCCTCGCTCTCTCTCTCCCCCTGAGATGTATCTAGGTTTTTAAATATATGTCTAAAATATCAGATTTTATTGTTTTGCTGCAACATTTTTCAAGGTAATCTGAAACTGTTTGTTGATTTTCCCATAGGACTTTTTCAACGAGCAATAGCTCAAAGTGGAACAGCCCTTTCCAGCTGGGCTGTTAGTTTCCAACCTGCAAAATATGCTAGAATGTTGGCCACAAAAGTTGGCTGCAATGTTTCAGATACAGTAGATTTAGTGGAATGCCTCCAGAAGAAGCCTTACAAAGAACTTGTTGATCAAGATATTCAACCAGCCCGATACCACATAGCCTTTGGACCTGTGATTGATGGTGATGTAATACCAGATGACCCTCAGATACTGATGGAGCAAGGAGAGTTTCTCAACTATGATATAATGTTAGGAGTTAACCAAGGGGAAGGTTTAAAATTTGTTGAAAATATAGTAGATAGTGATGATGGTATATCTGCTAGTGACTTTGATTTCGCTGTTTCCAATTTTGTTGATAATTTATATGGATACCCTGAAGGCAAAGATGTTTTAAGAGAAACCATTAAATTCATGTATACCGACTGGGCTGACAGGCATAACCCAGAGACCAGAAGGAAGACCTTACTGGCTTTGTTTACGGACCATCAGTGGGTGGCACCAGCTGTAGCTACAGCAGATCTTCACTCAAACTTTGGTTCACCTACGTACTTCTATGCTTTTTACCATCATTGTCAAACCGACCAGGTTCCAGCGTGGGCTGACGCAGCCCATGGAGACGAGGTTCCTTATGTGCTGGGAATACCCATGATTGGGCCTACAGAGTTGTTTCCTTGCAATTTCTCCAAAAATGATGTGATGCTGAGTGCAGTTGTAATGACTTACTGGACAAATTTTGCTAAAACTGGGTAAGTACCTAAGGATTGAGGTTTACTACAATTTTAATAAAAAACACTCTTAGGTATTTTTTACAATGCATACTGTGTCCAAATAGTTGAATGAATCATTCAGCAATATATGAAAATTTTTATTCAACATTAATTCTATATTGTTGTGTCTCTAAAAGTCATTTCTTTATTAATTATTCCCTTGAAAAAGTTTATTAAGAAAGACATATCTTTATTGTATTACCCAATAATTAAACATGCTTTGGGTTTTTTAATTATTCAGGATATATTATTGTTTTTTAATTTTGAATAATAAAAAATACTACTGCACATAGTTTTCAAGTTCATAATACTGTGCACTCTTTGATCCTTCCAATTTGAGGTAGGCAAGTCAAATATAATTAATCCCACTTTCACAAAAAGAACCTGAGTGTCTATGAACTTCCTATAAATACTTGTATTCATATATATAGCAACACCAGGACTCACCCTTTATCTACAGTTTCCAAATCCCAAGTCTGTTCTACTCTTCCATGCCATCCCTGCTACATTGCCTATGACATAACTCATATATACGTGAATATTTAAATCATTCTTGAAACTCTTTGAGTAGATAGTAGTCAGCACTAAATAAGCAGAGACAGCAAAGAATGTGACACTTACCTGCCTTAAGTTACCATCTATCTAACAATCTACCTGTTAGGAGATGCAAAAGTCCAAAGTGACCCCAGTTAATGTTAAAACACAGTTTAAAACCTTACTGAATTGCCTCATCAAATAGCCCAGCAGTATTTTGATTAAGAAAAAAATTAAAAATTTTGTTTTATAATTTCTTTTTTTTTTATTAGTGACCCAAATCAACCAGTTCCTCAAGACACAAAATTCATCCATACTAAACCCAACCGCTTTGAAGAAGTAGCATGGACCAGATATTCCCAGAAAGACCAACTTTATCTCCATATTGGATTAAAACCAAGGGTTAAAGAGCATTACCGAGCCAATAAGGTGAACCTCTGGTTGGAGCTGGTACCTCATCTGCATAATCTCAATGACATTTCTCAGTATACCTCGACAACAACTAAAGTGCCATCAACTGACATCACTCTCAGACCTACGAGAAAAAATTCTATACCGGTCACATCCGCCTTTCCCACCGCTAAGCAAGATGATCCCAAACAACAGCCAAGTCCGTTTTCAGTGGATCAAAGGGACTACTCCACGGAGCTGAGCGTCACTATTGCAGTCGGAGCATCGCTGCTCTTTCTGAACATCTTGGCTTTTGCAGCCCTATACTACAAAAAGGATAAGAGGAGACATGATGTTCACCGAAGGTGTAGCCCTCAGCGCACTACGACCAACGACCTGACCCATGCCCAGGAAGAGGAAATCATGTCTCTCCAAATGAAGCACACTGATTTGGATCATGAATGTGAGTCCATCCATCCACATGAGGTGGTTCTTCGGACCGCCTGCCCCCCAGATTACACACTAGCTATGAGAAGATCACCTGATGATGTTCCTTTAATGACACCCAACACTATTACGATGATTCCCAACACCATACCAGGGATTCAGCCCTTACACACATTCAATACATTTACTGGAGGACAGAACAACACTCTGCCCCACCCCCACCCCCACCCCCATTCACATTCAACAACCAGGGTATAGCCAGATAAGAGAAACAAACTATTTTTTTGATGGATTACAGTAAAAGATTACTGAAGATTCCTTGGTTTTCAACCTACAAGACTCTCATTATTTAAATAAGGAGGAATATTATGTGAATATACATATCAAGAACTTGGGGGTTTTGAAAATATGAATTGTATATATATATACATAAATCAACTTTAAAAACAAATTGCAATTGCTTGAAGCAGTTGTTCTGAATGATACTTTTTCATTCACATTCAAGAATTAATTTTTTGAAGATTTAAGTTACATAATGGAATTAGGCATGTGGAACACCAAGCAGGAAAGAACTATGTCTGAAATATCAAAAAATAAAAATTAAAAAACAACTATGAATATGCACAAGGGACACACCAATGGAATGTCAGATAATTTTCACCAGTTTTTATTTGGAGCCGTTTTATTGTGTAGACCATATTTACATATTTGGATAAGTACACAAAGCACCAATGCTGTTAATGGCCTTAGCAGAGGCTCATGCTGAAATTTGCCAGTAAAACAAAGAAGTTTAAAGACTGGCAGGTACAACATTATCACATAAGTGCTGTCAGTATAAAGTTGTGGGGATAAAGGAAACTGGATATTTTAAGCACGATGTGCATGATAATTTATATGCTTGGTGGCTGTGCTGCTGATTAAGCCGTAATTAAAATTCTTTTCATCCCATTGGAGTTTTTAATAGAAGCTTCCTCCATCAATTGGCAGAATCTAAAGAAGATTTTAAGGGGCAAAAATAATGACAGTAAAATAAATCACAGTAGTGTCAATAATAGATGGGATTAGTTATTAAATGTATTTGAGGAAACTATAGGTTTAGTGATGAATACTCGCTGATATGAATCCCAGAAAAAAAAGTTTTCCTGTGTTTTAATATTCTTTTCATTCTCATATAAATAATTTATAAAAATATAACCCCAATTGGACATGTGTTACAGGATCTACAGTTTGCTGTGGTTTTTGTTAGTCTGTATTTTGTTCCTTTTAGTAAGGTGAAGTGTGTCCAAAGGATTACTCACAACAGTCTTTTATGATATGAGGGTGCCCCAAAATTATCATTCTGAGTACAGTTCTCAGTTAATTGATTTACTCATGTTGCATGACAAAATGTTTAATAATAGTAATTCAATATAAAGTTATGTCCCGCTTCACATCACTTAACTTTCTCACTGAGGTTCATTCACTGGAATTTATTCACACACTCTCAGTAGAGTACAACATAGAAACAGAACCTAAGAGAGTTGACACCTGGAAGATTTTAGTCTTACACATATGTGTGATTTTAAATGAATTTCTAAGATCACAGGAAACTCTTCATCTCCCTGTTGTTTACCAATAATATCAGTATGTCACAGACCTTTCCAAATGTTTGTATATGTAATCAGATGTACATTTATATTAAAAAAATGAGATGGACTTAAAGAGCACATCCTGACAAATACTTTCTCTTACCTGTACTATATTTCTATTAGACTAAAGTTATGTGATTTTTTTTTACATTTTTTCAGATGACTAGCAATTTTGATAGTTTGTAAGATAATGCAAAGAACTTTCTCTGACAAACTAACTGCAGTAACAGAAACCTTTCTTTTCAGTTACTCTTTTTCAAGAATGAAAGCTTATTATACAAAAGAAAAATATTGTATACTACTTGATGGAAACAACTTTGTACATCTCGGCCATGTCACTGGTCATTGCGTGAAATAAAGATAATCTGGATAATGACTATTAGTCAAATGCTAAGAGACATGATTTTTGCTCATTAAAGAGCTAAAATGTTTATTGCTGTTTTGTCTTTTTTTAAAAAACAAAAACTAAAAGAACATTACTGTCTCAAAGAGTCATTTTTCTAGACCAGTCCGGCTTTTGAAGTCATACGAGTAACTTCTACAGAAAACACAACCATGTATTTAGAGGGAAGTCTAAGCAAAGATTAACATGTGAAGGTGTGATAGTATGCATTTATAAGCTTCAGGAACTCATGAAAAACACTAGCTTTGATTTTTTAAGTAACCCTTTTGTGAAGGTGCTGTAGAAGGAAAGTACCAGCTGTTCTCCGGTAGAAACGCACGTTCCATTTTTCAATCATCAGGGAAAAGGTCTATGGAAAATAAATGTGTGATATTTCAGGAAATAAAAATATCTAGGTTCTTAGTGCAAAAGTAATTAAACTATCATAAAGTAATGGATAAAAGGTTATCATAAGAAGAATTTGTGTTGAGCAAGATAATTAAACTGACACTAGAAAATATAAATATATATGTATATATATATTTCAAGTGGTTTCTTTCATTATAATTTCTCCTCCCAATTATTAACTATCAATAAAATATAGATATTATTCCATAATGTCCAATAAATACCTCTGTTAGAAGTAAAAGTCTTCAAAATCCAGAGTGGTCTATATTCAATTTTTGCCTGATGTGGTTATGTTTTTAGACTGTGAACTGCCAATGTAAACCAATAAAAAGAAATGTTTAGCATCCGAAGTACTGTTTAATCAGAAAACTGTGTTTTACTATACTAATTTTAAAAAGGGTAAAAACAGAAAGAGAAGTACCAACAAAATAATATGTGAATGAATACTTTCATATGCATTATTACTTTATGTGGCAAAGCCAAGCATTTGATTGTATTTTATTGATGGCCATATTTTTATCTACACACCCTTTATTCTACAGTTAATCAATCAATCAATCAATCAATCAGTTTACCTGTGCATAATATATCTGATATCTACTTTATATTAATTTAGGGAACTAATTTAGGAAAACAAAGCATAGTCCCACTCTTTTCTCTAAATTAAGATAGTATCTGTCAAGTTTATGGAAGATAAAACAGCCAGATTTTATTATTGTTTTCAAGTCATGTGGTGAAGTTATTGTGAATGAGTGTTGTTGTTAGTTTTATAATTACAGCCTCTGGTTTTCTGAATGTAAAATGATGTCCCGTAGTCAGCAGAATAATAAGAACATTTTGTTTTAAAATTTTCTTTTTATTAGTACATGTTTGCAGTAAATATGATTAAATTTTTCATGAAGAGTTGATACATGTACTGTTTTTAAAGCTGAAACTTTATTTTCAAATGCAAGGAAAAAATTCCTCAACATTGTTATTCAGTTTTAGGCAATATATTAAAAATGTATTTATATAGATGATCATTTGCTTTAGAATAAAAAGTAAGTACCAAATTTCAAAATACTATTTTGGCCTTATATATTAATTCAGGTTTTCCTGCCTTGGATTAAACTGTAACCAAACCAGGTTGTTTAGAATTACTATCATTAAGCTAAAATGATCTCTATTTCATTGATTTGCTCTTCTACAAATTTTTTCCAAACATTTATCAAAAGATTAACACTGTATTAGAGTATGAGATAAGAAATAGTAAGGTAACAGTTTTAATACTTTCAAATTTTTATTGAGCGTGCTGACTGTGAAAATGACTACTGCAGATATTTAACAAATTTCATCGTTTTATGCAAATTAGAACAAAATTTGCTGAAACATTATACCAAATTTAAAAGTTGATTAAAAATGTAATTTAATTCAGACTTCTTGATCTGTTCAATAAAAATTTTTTAGAACTTTTACCATATGTAGTATTAAGTACGCAAAGATAGTGATAATTTCATTGCAGAAATTAAGAGCCAAAACTCAATTACTATGGTATAATATATACTGTAACAACAGTTATTTCACCTGTTGGAATATTCATGCTGACACACATATTAATCACAACAAAAATATATAAAGAATGTAGTAACTGTGTTCCAGCTTTAAAGACTCTACTACACAGAGATCACTGGGATTCTTTTCTTTGGCGAGTTTCACTGAAATGTTTTCACAGAGCAAAATGACAAATGGTATTCTTAGGAAGCTGTCAAACATCATGGCAGTCCTTTGATGTTAGTAATTTTGTTTTCCACTGTGTTATTGGTTCAAAGTACTGGCCTTTTCCCTCATTTCTAGTAATTAGTTGTTATAGACTATCACTTTTTAATGTCAGTGAAAATTAGATAATTTGTTATACTTGTGAAAACATGTTCCCAAATAAATTCAATTAATGGGCACTTCCCTGCTGAGATTTTGTTATCATTCATTTAATTATCTTGCCAAGCTTTACTGTTACAGCAATTACTTTATCTTTTTAGTCAATAAGCTAAGGGAATGTCTCCAATAGCCTTATACTTCTCCTGCACTTGATATGTTAACAATACACGCTTCAGAGTTCCATCAGAAACCACTAAAGAAATTTCCCACTGATGTGAAACATTCTGTTGGCCAACTTGATTCTTTTTCATAAGCATTGTGATTTGGTTTTAATCTGGCACTTTGCTGTACTTATATGCAGGCTTAAAATCAACTCTCTGGTCAGAGTTGTGGAGAATACAGATTGGAATGACTGTGTGCAGGGCTTAAGTGCCTTTTCCTTCTGGAATTTTCTTTATAAAATCTAATATTTTTAATTTGCAGATTTGGATAAATTGATTTTAAAGATAAAATAGAATGACAATGTTATCAATTGCTGATAAGATGTTTTTATTTTGAAGTACTTGCATCTAATTTGATTTTCACATGATATCAAATGGGCTCAAATAACTCCGGAAAAAATAAAGTCAATTTTTAGGAAACAATAGTTATTTAGCTACTTGATTTGATGGTTCTTATGAAAAAATTTATATCTCTAACAAAGTCAAATTTTTCTGAATAAGTAAATTTTACTTAGAAATCTGAAGTTATTAAGAACAAACATATATATTATATATGCATATATATATATATATATGTTTCCCAGTTACCCATTATATACTATATGGTATATAGATAATCTTATATATTATATAGTTTATACAATATTTATAATGGCTCATTCAGATCTATACATTTGCAAATGTTATATATCTTCCTAAATATGAACTGATGTGACAAAATTTAGTTCTGTATGGAAAGTTAAGCCAAAGTACTAGAAATTTTGTTGACATAAAAAAGAAAGCTTTAAAGAAATACGTAAAGGTACAGTAACAAAAGCTCAGCAGCTGAAGTTAAAACAAAGGCACCAATTTTTAATTCATGCCATTTCCAGAGTTGATATCTATAGTAAGCAAGAGTGTTTAAAAGGGTTTTAGAGTTTTTGATTCATCCTTTCACTTCACTCATGTGCTTTAGCCAATTAATAGGACAAATTTCCTGGTTTTGTAAAAGAAGCCATTGGGTTGTCAGAATTCAGTTTGTGTTTGGACATCCCTGGCTTTAATTACAATGCATTTATTACCATGAATAAATATTACCATGTTTCTAAGTTGTGTTGACTATTTTTAAACTCAGAAATAATGTGTTCTTCTTGGCATACACTAAACCACTAAGATACATGTTCCCTTGTAACTTCTTTGTGCTGCCCACGCCCGTTCTGACTGGATGGAAACAATGATATTTTGTGGCCCACTTATCTCTTAGTGAATGCAGAGAAAAATTTTAGAAAGTAGGACTTGAGAGCTTGTCAGAACAGAAAAAAGAGGAAGGAAAAAGAAAAATGGAAGGAGAAAGGAAATGAAGAAGAAAAAACCTTCAATTTGAAATTATTGATTTTTCCCTACAACTAATTTTTTAATAGAGATACATGACAGTTTATAAAAATAGAACAAGAGGCTTTAAATAAAGCCCTTTAAACCAGAGGTCTACTATCTACAGAGAACAAGATTAATAACATTTAGAAAGGCGCATGAAACTTAATCCTTGGTCCAAGTCCTAGTCAAATTGTGTTACTGGAAACAAATAAAAATTCTACAGTAACATATTTGTAACCTTACACTGCCTAATCAGTAATGCTCTTGGGAGAAAAGACTACATGCAATAAAGTCCAAGGGAAGAATACATTAAACAAAAAGAATATCACAATATTACCCAAGATATGACTTAAAGACCATGATTCCAAATTGCTAAATAAAAGAATTTTCATTATTTTGCAGATCTCTGTGGCCACATATAGCTACTGGTACCAAAATAAGTTAAATAGTTCAAAATGCCTTCTGAGTGTTGTATGTTTAAGAGGGTTATGTTTTCTATAACTTGGTATAATTTATATGACTCCTTTTTTCACATTATTATATTTTCTTATAATTTATAGAATGTTATTTCTGAGTATTAAAAAGGTTCCAAATATATTCTGTAGATATTCATGCGGAAGCAGTATTTTCAGTGAAATGTAAATTGAAGTCCATCCTGTTGCACCCCTTTTGGAGACTTGCCTCCAGTTAAAACATTTCTAACTCTCCTAAAATACTCAATTTGATGCTCAGAGAGACCTTCCTCTGTGCTACAGGGGATCTTCCAAAGGATTATGCCAGCTTCTATTTCAATTACTCTCATTACTATTCATGTGGAATTTGTGAGGAAAGACTTAAAAGGTGATCTAACTAGAGCCTTGGGAACTGGCTGCCTCTTTTCTCAGGCACATCAGAAGCTACTGAACACCATCATTCAATTAATGAGAGGAATTATTCATTCATTCTCCAACAAACAGTCCCCCACCCAGTGTCAGACAAAGTGGTGGGTGTTAGACACATGGCCAGCTCTATGACTGACCCATTAATAGACAATTATTGCCCATCTTGGAATAAGTTCAAACATTTGGTCAGATTCCAATCAGCTTCCATGCCATCCTCTGCAGAAAATCAAAAGGCAGCCCCTTGTTTATCTACTTTATGTCTCGAAATAGTAAACATACAATAGTATTGTTGAGTTCAAAGCAACATTATTTGAAATTTGTTGAGCAAATCCACCAATCAAGGCAGATGGCAGCTATTTTTTCTCAATAATAAATACAGCCATATCTGAAGCCAGGCTATACCAAAACAAAACAAATCATGGAGTACGAAATGTCCAGCTTTAAGTTTAACTCATGCAGTTTAACTTCTGCACAAGCTCTGTGTGGTTGTGAATTCTATCATAGAACATCGTGGGTCTGTAATTCTAGAACAGTTGGCTGCATGTTCCTCTTCTAAACTTCTTCCTTATATTGCTTATGAGTCTCCAACACTTGAAATATTTTCAAATATTTGAAGACTGCTACCATTTTCCCCATGTGTCATTTTATCCTCAGAACAAAACCGTTCAATATAAAATAGCTTAAATCTTTTCACCACCTCAAACACTATCCTTTAAATATGCTCTCCAACCTCAGCTTGTTAGGAAATAAAGACTGACATAATAAACACTTAAGTAGAGTGGGTCTTTGCCTAATGGAGAGAGATCAACTTTCTCATTATAGAAATTGTACTTACTTTACTATAATTTGTGATAGTGTTACCTTTGTTAAAACTTCTACATATGCTGCTTTTAAGCAAATCCCACTTTTATCTGGCCATTGTTCATTTTTTTCCTTGTATGTAGGATATTAAATACTGTTAAATTCTACCACATAAGGTTTAGCATATTATGAAGAGTAATGAAAGCCAGTAAGGTGATAAATGACTCTTCTATCTTCACTCAAATCATGGGGAAAAAATTTTAAACACACTACTCAAAATCAGACTAAAAACAAACATCTACAGTAATAGCAAAGAAGGTAATGTTCCTAATATTTTAAAAATCAGTAGCTGACACTTACTGAGTACTTACTACTTTCCAAATCCTTTATTAGACCCAACAACAAGTCAATTCATCTCACAAAAATTTATAAAAATTTTGATGTGTTTATTCACTAATTTATTCTTTAAAAAGTACTAAAGATCTATGCCATATGATGAATGGCTCTTTAGTGAAAGAAAAGTGAATGAAATGTAACTCTTCATATGAGTGGCTGCCAATGGATTAATCTTCCTTTTACCTACACATATAGCATAAAAGACATTACCAGATCCATTTACAAGATCTGTTAATTCCCATTAATAATATTTGAATGACATGAGTCATTCTTACCAAGGAAATTGAAAAAATTGACCTCTCTCCTTGATTGGACATTTCTGTGGTGTTAGTGCTTTATATTAATGGGAAGAAGTACCGTAGAAAAAGAATTCTTACATGAATCACCTTCATCTAGCCCAATCAAGTACAGCTTTCTAATTAGATTGTTAACAGAAAAAGTAGATGCGTGGCTACAGCGTTACTGGTAAAGTAGTTGCTGACTTTGTGCTCAATACTCAGCACCAAAAAGAAGAGAAGAGAAAAAAAAAGAGAGGAGAAGAGAAAGAAGGGAAAAAAGAGAAGAGAGAAGAGAAGAGAAAGAAGAGAAGAGAAAGAAGGAAGGAAGGAAAGAAAGTGGGAGGGAAGGAAGGGAGGAGATGTACACCAGACACAATTTTTACATTGAGAATTAAATCTTTCTCACTTCAGGTGGAAATACTTTAGTCATTTTCCCCATAAACATTGCTATTGGTTTGTATATCTCTACAATTATTCTACTCATATGTAAATCCATGCAACTGTGTATGTATGTAGGGGCCTTTATATGTACGCATTCTCTTTTTAATTTACCTGAAAGTGTTCTGTGAGAGGACATTGTATTCATCTTTATGACAAAACAGAAGTAATTTTTAAAATTCTCAAATTTATTTTTAGACCACAAAACATGGTAACCAAAATTACAACAGAGTGTTTCTTTACAGACCTAAGATGGCTATACATTAAGAAAAACCAAGATTATTTAGAATCAAAAGAATAAGAAGTGACTAATACATGCCCCATACTTCAGGAGCTACTACAAGGCTACTATTGAAGCTGTGGTATCAGTTCAGAGAGAGAGAAATAAATAAAGAATAACAGTGAAGTCAAGACCGGTGAAGAAAGGAAAAATTGCTATATGCTTGAAGGGCCATACAAATCAAGAGAAAGATAGACTGCAACTGAAAGTGGCTATTTATATCCCAGACAAATTAAATATATAAATATGGAAAGCAATTATAGAACAGCAAAAAACCATAAAGGTAAAGAACAAAATTTAAAATAAAGTCTCAATATATTAGGTAAAAATAATTCTTTAAATGACAATGAAGAACTGGAAGAAAACATTTACAGCATAAATAAGCAATGAAAGATTGATTAATCAGTTAAATATAGAATTTCTATATGTCAA